GGAAGAGACAGTCCTTGGCCAGGTATAAATCTCTGTTTATGCGTCGAAGTTATTCTTAAGCGTCTTTTTTTCGTAAATTTTTTTTATACGTCTTTTTTCGCCGCCAAAACAATAGCGTGCCTTTATTCGTGTCTAGTAACGATATGTTGTGAGCTCCGATGAGATCTGCTATATCACTTGTCAAATTTTTCTTGGGCCATAAAATATGTAATCAAATTTGCCTATATGCAAAATGTTACGCCCAGTTTCATCAATCAATTTTAAATTTATCAGATCGTTCAAATTCAAAACGAACAAACTTTTTAAAGAAGTGTGCTATTTTAAATTTTAAGTTTAATCAATTTTAAAACTTATTGGGCATTATTTTTCTTTCCCAACATATCGTTGCCGATTTTTAGTTATGGATGCAGTTATATATATTAAAACAAAATCTTTTGTTTAGTGTTTTCAGTTTTTGAATATCTTCTTTAGTTACCGAGATATTGACTAAAAAAAATTTCGCTAATTTAGTAAAAATTTAGTTAATAATGCAGTTATTCCAAACTAATTAAGATCTTTAAAATTGCGCTATCAATTTTTCGATATCTCCTTTAGTTTCTGAGATATTGATTAAAATATATCATTAACTTAGTACAAATTTTTATCACATTGGCAACAAATATACCGTTACAACACAAATTTCTCTAGTTTTTGTATACTTTTCTACCAATTGAGATCGAATTTATGTGGCACATTTTGCGGCGCACTAGAAACCACAACAGTGATAAACTAAGCTTTGTGACTCTGTTAGAATAGAGAGGTTTGTCGTATTTCATACAAAGTGACTGCCAGATTGTTGACAAATGTCATACGACAAAATTTTATTAGAGAAAATCCTTCATAAACTCAACCCTAACAAAAAACAATAAAAATGAAATAATTTAAGAATTTTGTAAACTAGTACCATTCTCGAGAAAATCTATCTTCGCGTTTTTTAAGAAATTACATTCCAAAACTTCAAGCGCGATTTTCCTAAACCTGCCGAAAGTAACATACGACAATCTTTTATTCAGGCGACGATATGTAAGAAAGCTTTCGATAGTATCGAATATTTTGCACTATCACTATCGAAACTATCGAATGTATACACCATAGTTTTCCAACACTGCAACCAACTAAGCTACCTACGTTCATTTGCAGTGCTGACGACAAGACAGTGGGCAAGGACAATGTCAAGGCGAGCACCAACATCTAAAGCAAACTTTTCAAAAAAAAAACAAAATAACATACCAACAGCCACACAGTTACTCTGCAGCTAAGGAGTGTAAGCAGAATGGCGCATAAACGCAAAGCGGATGACTAAATTAAATTGAATGGAATGAAATGATATTGAAAGTGACAACAAAGTTTTACACAAGACGCCTTAAGCATCATAATGGTTTTAGAGGATTTATGACTACACGAAAATACTTTTAAGCTGATATGTACATAGACATATGTATGTAGGTATGGTATGTCTTTAAGATATTGCGACTCTTAAGACATTTGGTGTATGCTCTAATTATCTACATGTATCGACACCTGAGTGGAAGATCGACCTATCTTGGCAGCCAATTCGAAAACGATCTATCTCAGAAAAATTTTCAAGAACGCCTTATTTCAAAATTTGGTTGAAGAACGCCCTATCTCAGAGTTCGGTTTCATGTGAGATAGGGCGTGTTTGAACCCAATTCTAAGATATGGCGCTCTTCAACCATATTCTGAGATAGGGTATTTTTCAATAAAATTCTGAAACAGGGCGTTCTTCATACAAATTCTGCCGCGATAGGTCGACATTCCACTCAGGTGTCGATAAGTACATATCAGGGATGTTGCTCATATTTGCATTCGCATTCGTTATGCGATTGATTCGCATCACTTTACACATTCGCATTCGCATCAAATGATACGAATGATTTGCGAATTCGAATGTGTTCATTGGCAGAGAGTCCACTCTAATATTGTTGAAATGGCCGTAAGGGCCAGTTTTTCAGTGCCAGTTTAAACTTAGATTAAGTAAACTGAGTTTAAATTGAATAGCTGGCTGACGTCTTAAAGAAAAACGAACTCATCTCGGTGAAAATCCTCTCGATTGGGGGAACACCAAACTAAAATACGACAAATTGACAGATCTGACTCGCAAATATTTTAGTGCTCCACCCGCCAGCGTTCCAAGTGAGCAATTGTTCAGTGCAGCCGGCCTTATATACGAGCCTCTCAGAAATCGCCTCATGGGAGAAAAGGCAGCGAAATTACTCTTTTTTTTTTGAAATATAATATGCCCCTTTTGAACTTTGACCACCACAAACAAAACAACATTGTTTTGGTTAAGCAATCGTTCAATGTTCTAATAATTTCCAAAATTTTTAAGTAATAAAAATGATGACTTAAGTTGATTATAGCTTTTTTAATGTTATTCCTAACATTCGCATTCAGAAAATTCGCATTCGCATTCCCATTCGCGAATGCAAAAGATATGACATTCAAAATTTGGAAGGTCACTGTGAATCTGATAAGATTTACAGCCGCACTCAGAAACATTCATTAAATTAGCTTAAACGGACACTTAACTAACGAACGTTTAAACTGTGAATTAATGTTTCCTTTCAGAGTTGAAAGATAAGCGCTCATTGGTTAATCAAAAATTTGTATATGTATGGCCACGGTTGCGGCCCTTTTTTTGTGGCAACACTCGCTTTTTTCTTTCAGTTTGAAATCAAATATAAAAGTAAGTATTTATATAATGGCAAAGCTCTGGCGTGCCATTCGAGAGATCCGAGTTCGAATCATTTAAAAAGAAAAGGTTTTATTACAAAACAATCGGGTGTTTTCTCTAAGAAACAGCAGTTTTTTTCAACCCTCTTCAAAAAGAGTGTATTCTGCCTAAAAAACAGCCTCTCATAGAAATACATTTAGCGTTCAGAATCGGCTTATAACTGTAGGTCCCACCCCTTTATGGGGCACCATCAAAGTGCATGCCACAAATCGGAGGAGAAGCTCGGTCAAACACTAACATATTATAATAATAATAATAAAATTGTTCTAAAAATTTTTGAATCTAACGAGTTGTAAGACTAATAATAAATAGAACATTAATACACAAACAATTCCATCGATTCGCCAACAGTTAGTGAGTGGCGAAACGAACGAAATCAAGGAGCTACAGCCAAGGCATATCGAACAGGTAAAAGCATTCGAGCAAAAAAAAACACTGTTGCCAACTTAGTGCTTTTCGCGCTAAATTTAGTGCATTTCTCAATTCAAAACGCGAAAATTTTTGAGTTTGGTGCTTGTTGCATTTTTAGTTGTTTTTTTTTTTGTTGGAAGCACCAAACCTGTAAATCTAAAATAAAAATTTAAGTTAAATTTAGAGCAATGGGAAGTATCGTAAGGAACTTTACAAAAATGGAAACAAAATCGTAGCACAATGACAATCATAAGCGAAAGAGCATATCGCCACTACACACGAATAAAGGCGCGCTAGTGTTTCGACGGCGAAAAAAGACGTTTAAAAAAAATCTTAAGAAAAAAGACGGTTATGGAAAACTTCGGCGAAGAAAGACGCGTAAACATAGATTTATACCTGGCCATGGACTATCCCTTCAGCATTATTCACTAAAAACTCTTTGGGGAATTTACATACTGTTGCACCCGCAAACATAGTCGACCGCGAAAATGAATATACGGGTCTAAGAGTAAAATGAATAACGAAGCTTTTTAAAAAATTAATCATCGAACAGGCAGCTTTGGTTTTGCACAAAAAGAGAAATCAAGTTTTGTTGTTTCAGATGTGAAGCGGTCGTAAAGGAAAGTTCTTTACGTTCCTTTAGTTCTCTAGATCATAAGAGACTACAGTGTAGATTTAAACTTCCACATAGTTCATGAAACTTTGTTTTTTGTTGTTACTTTCGTTTGATAGAAATTGTAGAAAAAATTAAGCAAAACGAAGAAAACTAAATATTTAAACAGCGCAAATCTAGGCGACACAGCAACGCTGGACACAGCTGAAAATTCAAAACTTGGCAACACTGAAAAAAAACATGTGCGTGTATTTTGTTATTGCTTCTGGTATGAAAATTTCAAAAACAGTTTTTTCTTCTAAATCAAAGCGTGTCATGTGAAACAAAAAAAATAAAAAATTCAAAATGTAAAAAATAAAAATTGTTGTAACTTTCTTTCTTAGTAAATTAGTTTGCTTCTCGAAGCATTGACCCATTCCTTTCAAGGCCCAGTAATCAGCGGCTGTACTGATGATTTGGGCGAACGTTCCAAAATAAATGAAGAAAGATTTATCATGCAAATAGGTTTTAACAATTTAGAAGTTTTGTGAGAAGAAATTAAAAATATTTGACATTTTTGATACCAAATGATGTAAAAAAAATCAAATCAGCTGCTCTACTGATGCTACCTTTCAATGTGCCTAATGGTCTGATTATGCATACTTCGCATAACTTCGCACAACTTCGCATAAACTTCAAACTGTAATTTCGTATGTACTTTGTATCTAATTTGTATTTATTCCATTACCCAGAAATTAGCAGAACTTTTAAAAACTTAGCGATCTGTTGAGTTTAGATTTCGCTTCACATTTTCTTAAGTTACACTTTTAGTGCACTGGTACGAAATGCGAAATTATGCGAAGTATGCATAATCAGACCCTTAGGTACAACCAAACCAGACACTTTGTTGTTCCTTTCACATGCAAAATTTTTCATTAAGCGAGTAGAACTCAAACATGGCGAGCAGAAAAGTGGCGAATCGAAAGCGGCTGTTATTTTATTGTAAATTTTAAGATTCGATGATTCGTATATCCGGTTAAAATCCGTTCATTTTGTTATCCGGATATTCGGGTTCCGAATATCCACATATTAGGATTTTTTAATCATATATTCAAATTTTCGAATTATCCGGCAAGTCAAAAAATCTAGAAATAACTCCCTAACCCAAGTATGTATGTATACCAAAGAAAATCGAAAACTTACCATCATATCTTGAGGAATATAGAAATCCGACACTGCCGCCGCTAAATACAACAATGCCCGCTCTTCAAATGCCGCCAAACATTCACACGCAGCGCGCAGCAGCCACAAGTAGTCCGCAACCGTATTAAAGCTAATATATAAAATCATTTGTGATTCGCGCGCTTGCTTATATTTAGCTAATATTGGTGCGAATACATCAACTGAATCCGGTTTCACTGTTATTGCAGTACTCTGTCCATTATCGGTAATGTCGAGCATATCGAAAAATTGTTGGCCCGTAAAGTGGCGAGTGAATGGCTCCAAAGACTTGACGCGATACATAAATATCACGGCATAATCATGGTCAAGGAAATATTCAGCAGATGCTGAGCCGCGTGTGCCGGCACTAAAATTGTCTACAAATCTTACGGTATTGTGCTCCAGAGGTACTGTGGTGCCACCTGACTGCAATTAGAAATGTAAAAGGAAAATATAAAGTTAGTGAAAATCCATCAAACCGATTTATGTACAAATATACAAAAATAAGTGAATATGTGCATATCTCGCTAGATCTAAATATTTCTGTAAATTTGGTCACACTATAAATTTATTAAAGAATGTCTGATATGTAAATTAACAAATTAAAATTCATAACTAAATTTTTTTTTTAATTTCGCTAAAGGTGTTCAGCAAGTTATACACAAAACTCGAAAAGTAATTAATAATGAATGGCAATAAATATCTACGATGATAACGAGAGTAGGATATATGTATGTATATTAGGGTGGTTCTTAAATGTAGGAAGCAAATTTTTGCATCAGCTTTCCTAAGCCTCAACCCCTAAGTCGATGCTTCTATAGTCGAAGATATCACATATAAATTTGGGTCCTCATTGGAAACGGCTAAGGCGTGGCGCACAGGTGGCAAAGTACAGACTACCCTATGAAGACGTCTTAACCGACTCCAAACGGGACCAAAATTTATAAGTGATATCCTCGAATTTAGTAGCATCGATTTTGAGTATGAAATGAAAAATATATTTTTAATTTTTTTAATCCGGCCTTTGAACCCTTTGCGACATGCCTTAACCGACTCCAATCGGGACCAAAATCTATATGTGATATCTGTGACCGTGGTATTACCGATTGAGCGGCTGAGACTGAAAAAATCGTTCATTTGATTTTTTTAAGGACCACCCTAATGTATATATGTACATACATATGGCTGTTTCCATAATTTCGGACGTTACATTCGTACGACTTTCGAATTAAATAAATTATAGGAAAACGCAAGTCATTTATAAAAAGAAATGTGGCGTTGTGTAGCTTTTATACCGTCCTTTGGTTGAAAAAAAAAACTTAGGTGCGCCTGGAACACTGGTGTCAGGAAAATCAACGAAAAGTAGGTCATAACGGACGTGATAAAAACATAAATGGTTTCAGATTACATGTAAAAATAAACAAACGTCTGTGAATCCTGTGAGGTTTTCCTTTCTTACACAGTTTTTAATACAGTCAAATTACGGACCCTTACAACCAATTCATTTTTAACCAGAAGCAGTTCGTTGCTGGTTTAATTTTCAAATAAAATGTGATAACAGAAGTGACGTATCGGACGTGACAGATTTTTCCTTTATACAACATTTTTACTATAACAAATATTAAGTTTACTTTTTTTTTAATTGTTTCCTAACCTTTTTCGCCATCTGACATCTTACATTTTTATGGAAACACCCAAATGCATGCGTGAATGCTTGTACATTAGGGTGGTCCAAAAACAGTAAAGTAGGAATTGTAGTGCTCTCACCCCTACGATTGTTCTATATCGAAAATAAGTATACCCCTATTTTTTTTATTTTGAATTCAAAAAATATTTAGAGGTTGCTTAAACTGCTCAAAGTTTTCCATGTATTTTTATATGGAAAAAAAAATATTTTCGTAGAAATGGCATAGAATTCTTGAAAATCAATATTTTTTGATCGGAAACCCCTGGTTCTCTTCAGGAGACTTTCAATAATAATACCCAATTGTTTATTTAACCATTTTATAATACTAACGATTTTTTATTGGTCGCCCTATTGCATTTTTCGGGCTTTTTTGTGGGTTTTTGGCGGACATATAAATTATAGTTGCGATGAAAAAATGGTTAAATAAACAATTGGAAATCTCCTGCTGATTAGCAAAGTTTTCTGATAGAAAAATGTTGATTTTTATACTATTTTTACGATTCTATACTATTTTTACGAAAAGTTGTTTTTTCCTCCATATTAAATACATGGAACTTTGGGCGCTTTGAGCGACCTCTAAATATTTTTTGATTTCAAAATAAAAAAATAAGGGTATACTTTTTTCAGTATAGAACAATTCTAGGGGGTGAGAGCATAAAAATTCCGACTTTACTTTTTCACATGCATTTTTGGACCACCCTATTGTACACACGTACATATTATCATTACTAGACTTTCACAATTAGTTGAGGTCGTAACACTGATAAACATTTCATCTGTCCTATTCTAATTATTTCATACGCATTTTGCTGGTAAAAACATAAAAACATTATCCTAATATTAGATAAGTCAGCATCTCTGTTTGATTGTTTGCAAACATGGATTTTCGATAAATACAGAGTAGGCACTTATGCACACAGAGGTATATACATTAAGGCGGATCACGAAAAAAAGCTTGGCATGTGTCAGTTTTAAATATTTTAAAATTTTTGTAGGCACCCGCTAAAAATCGCTAAATCGCGTTTTTTTTTATAATCAGCCAAAACGAATTGAGAATGATAAAAGAAATCGATTAAGCGGTGGCTGTCTGTCCATCCATCCGTCCGTCTGTGCACACGATAACTCGAGTAAAAATTGAGGTATCTTAACGAAACTTGGTACGTGTACTTCTTTTGGGCGTGGACCAGACGGTATTAAAAATTAGCAAAATCGGCGAATAACCACGCCTACCTCCCATATAACGGTAGTCTTTAGGCTAAAAATAAGATTATTGTAAATTTGTGAGAAATGGGCGTAGCCACGCCCACTTATGATTACATGTCTATATCTTGGGAACCGCTCCACCAATTTCTCCCAAACTTGGCACAGTTTTCGCTCTTGGTTAAACATACAAAACGGCTGAAATTTTTTAAAACCGGACAATGACTACGCCCACGTTGGGATGTTATATGGGTATAACGGTAAATACGAATTTTTCGATAAATCGGTAAATTTACGTTTGCAATAATTCTTTAGCAAAATTTACGTTTATAGCAAAAGTTTGAAAAATGGGCGTGGCACCGCCCACTTATGATCACATACATATATATCTCGATAACCATTCGATCAATTTGTACCAAACTCGGTACAATTATTGTACGCGACACGTAAAAGTAAGACTTTGCAAATTTTTGAAATTTAATTTAAAATTACGCCCACTTTTAGTATAAGGGTAAATTTCAGATATGCTTGAAACTTCGATATTTCGAAATTTAAGCACGCAAATTTACTCAAAATTTATACTAACAACAATCTCTTGAAAAGAAGTAACATTATTTGGAATTGTGGAAAATGGGCGTGATATCGCCCACATATGACTATATAAGTTTATCTCATTAAGTCTCACTGAACATACTAGCGAAGATGTGTGAAATAGGGGTAAAACCACCCTTACTTACCATGTAACGGTAGTCTTCGGAAAGGTGAAATAACTATATTTAATACTTGCGCCGGATATTTAATATTCGGCTTCGCGCGAACTTAGACTTTTTTACTTGTTTGCTATAACTTTCTTATTTCATATTCGATTTTTAAAATGTTTATATTGCTGAAAAGGCCTCGCTCAGGACAATAATATCCCATTAAAAAATGTTGGTTCAAAAAACCGTTTTAATTTATACCTTCATTCAATTGGGAAATACTATCCCTAGATCATAGCTGTTTTTAAACCCGAAATTTATTAATATATAAAGATTTTGAAAATCGGATATCAAATAAGAATGTTATAGCAAAAAATGCGATTTAGCGGTTTTTAGCGGGTGCTTAAAAAACTTTTAGATCCAACATTTTTTTTTTCAACATTAGTATTTAAATAAAACTGACACAGGTTTTTTTTTCTTTCATATATATGTCGTGATACGGCTTAATGGACATGCACGCACATGCACATTTACACTCTAACTTGCTTTTGAGGAGTATCTAATCAAAATATGTATGATAGATATTTCCACTTCCGGTATTTATTTTATGTTTTCGCATTTTTGTATATTATCTCAGGTGAGATACATCTGAAAAAAATACCTACTGCACTTCAAAACATGGTTATTAAGTCTTTTAAAACTAATAAAATACTTTCTAATTAGGGATGCGACGGATAGAGATTTTGCCAGATGACCGGATTCCGGATACCATGTAAAAAATAAGAGCTGGATTCGGTTATCCGATCGGATATCCGGTAGGCTGCTGCCCTTTATAAATTTCACAACATTGTTACAATGCGTAATTAAGAATAGAAAATTTATTCTCTGAAATCCAAGTTATAAAATAATTCTGTACTAAAAATATGACTTTTCCGTCGGCAACCCTAATTTATAGATTACACGGGCCTGCGAAATTTAATTTTTTTTATTTTTTGAATATCTCGCTGCGTTAAATTTAAATACATACTTGGCCTTTTTTTAGCACGTCGAGATTTTTTTTATCGGTGACATACATATATATTTTAGAATTTTTAGTAATTTGCGTGAAAAGCCAAAAATTAATAAATTCAGAATTGAATTATTACTTAAAAACCAACAGTATTAGTTAAAAATACCCTTAAATAGACTAAGTAAATAAGAAAAACTTATGTAATTTCGACGCTATGAAAATTGATAAAAATTATTTTTTTTTTAGCGTTAACGCGCATTACTAGCGTTAACTTCGAATTTAGTTAAGTTTTTCTGATTTAATTAGGCTATTATTATTTTTTTTATTAACGCTCGGATCTAACATTAAATTGGATTATAAAGATACAAAAAAATAAATTTCTGAGCTAGATTTTTAAATTGAATATTCTATAATAGACATCCGGAAATCCGACCGGATTTTAGCTAGTATCCGGCCGGATTCCGAATATCTACCGGATACCCACCCAGCACATCCCTATTTCTAATAATTGAAAAATCACATTTAAAAAAGTACATTATTTCCTCTAAAATAATTTGTTGTAGAAATAACATCGTTTGATTAGACACTCCTTATTTGACCGATATACATATGTACATATATGTAAATGTATACTACTTACCGTGACAAGGACGATACGGTTTTTCAGTTTATTGTGTCGTTCACAAAACTCTTTCAATAACGAGCGATTATCTTCAAAATCCGTTGGCGGCAAATGAGTATTATAAAAGTCCTCCCAATGCGTCATGTTGATAAGGTGTATTTGAACGAATATTAACGTTGCGACAATTTGCTAATTTAATTGATGGAGAATTTTTTTATGTTTTTTGAATTGGTTGATTTTGATTTAGATTTTGATTGGATGTTCATTGAATTAAATAAAGTGTAAGCGCATTAGCATTCAAAACTCTCTGTCGGAAATTAAACTTTGAACGATATTATTCTTATGCGAGTTGCTGTGAGTATTTTCGCTTTTGACTATGCGAGCGGAAATAAAGGAACTTTTTACTTAGCTGTAGGGAAAGAATAAAAAAAAAATTATTACAAAGGTGCCAATAATGTACTTGGGGAAGGGAATAGTGCGACAAGTTTATACATACATACATACATACACATGTGCAAAGTACAGTAGCTGGCTCATAATTTATATATATTCGATGCAAGAATTCTATTACACCGTACGACAGTAAATTTTACACACAAAAAAATCAATATATTCGCGAAACTATGGGTAAATTGTAGTAAAGCTGCGTACTTTGTTTTTCTCTCTGAAAAAAATTATTTAAAACATTCGGTGCAATGTAGGTAAACAATAAGCATATCATATCAAAGAAAAAATTCTGTAGAATTATAAAAGAATACATTTTTTGGTGCATAAGGACGAATGGCTATGGAAAATTTCCTTTACAAATTTTGTGCTTAAATATCCTAGACAATTTTCAATATATTTTTTTTATTATTATTGTTTGAGGGCTAATATACGAACGACCTCACCGTCGAATTTCGTCGTGCAAACTTTATTAACTTAGAAAGATCAAATTTATTAAAAGCACATTTTCAATACTTATTCGTTCTTGTAAACCATAAAAATAATTTTTTGAATTAATCACATCTTTAAAAGTCCTCTGAAAAAAAAATCCTGACGCCAAAGTGAAAAATTAAAAACGCAGTTTTACTACATTAGTTTCGTGAGTATATCGATTCTTTCGTGTAATATATTAATATTACTACCAATGTTATGCATGTACTTATATGTAAGCATCGATCCCTTTGTGCGAAATTATCCTAACCCCAATAAACCCAATTTCACAAGAGATTTTTTTTTATTTTTTTTATTTTTTTTTTGCCACCTGTGTGTAATCTAATCGTTTAATAAATTTTTAACGAACTTCCTGATAAGCTAGAGACTTGAAGCTTCTAACTTGATTTTTAAGTCTGCTAGGTGGCGCAGGTGGATCGGATATGGCTCATATTTAAAATATATATTACATAGATTCTTCAACTTCTCGATCATCTGGTGGGCGCCAATGTCGGAAAATCAGCCTCCACGACTAAACGTCCGACAACGGACTGAAGCTGATCGACTTCGCCGGGGCCTGACAAGCTGTAAAAAAGGCTGAGGAAAATAGGGCAACATTATTTCGAGAGAAAAAAGCCAGTAATTTATATTGAACCAGCCGGTCGGTTTTTAGGTTTTTAACAATTAAACTATGTAATTTTATTTTGATGTCCATCTATTCGAAGCGTTCCCGTTTTTAAAGACCTGCTCACTCACTGCACATGCCTGTTCAGAGCAACACTAAAGGATATTAGTACTACGATACAATTATTCATAGATATTGTCTTCCCAGAGAGTTTTGCTTCACATGGAAATTCGTACTCTTTTATTCTCATCCATTTTTTTCCAAGTGTTGCGAATAAAACTTCACATTAAAATTTAAGACATTCATAACAAAAATTTTATGAAAAAATCCCCGTTACGTTCTTTGGAAAAATTACAGTGACCCAAATAGAAAAAAATATGGTGTGCATTTCTGTTCTATTAAATTCTAGTTTGATGAGATGCAAATTTTTTTGCTATACAAAGTATGCTCGACAAGTTTTTTATATGAACAAGTAATTTTTAAGCAAAAACAAAACCGACTTCAATTCTCATATAAAAATTTAAGAGTATCGTCAATTTCTTTATGATCCAATGATCGGTTTTAAACCAAATTAGTATGGGACCACCTCTGATGTACCACCTTTCCTTAACATACATTAAAAAAAAATATTCCGACGAATTGATAACCTTCTCCTTTTTTTGAAGTCGGTTAAAATAAGTGAATTTTAACTGCTGATGGTTTACTACTATATGGCTTATTACAAAAACAAAATTACCATCCGTAGTATTTTTTAATAAATATAGCAACTTGAAGAAAAGGGTTGGCCTTAATGCAGCCGATTTTGTTTCCATATTACATCGGAATGGGTAGGCTGAATTTAATGTTTATCACATGCACACGGTGCTAAATGAATACACTTTTGTTTAAAAGTACTTTTATTATTTAATATTAACTAACAGAAAGAAGAATTCTACTTAGAAGAACATGAACTTTCAGTTCATGTACCTAATTTATACGACATGGATATAGTGCAGCGAATTAAAATACAGCGGCTCCGCTGGCTTGGACCCCAACGCTCTAGCTCCGAAAGTATTCAACTCGAACCCCGCTGGTGGTAGCAGACGAAAAGGAAGGCCCCCATTGAGATGGAAAGACCAGGTGGAGAAGGACTTGGCTTCACTTGGCATTTTCAATTGGCGCCAGTTGGGACAGAAAAGAAACGACTGGCGTGCTTTGTTGAATTCGGCCAAAATCGCTTAGGCGGTTACAGCGCCAAATAAGAAGAAGAAGAAGAAGAAGAAGAAGAGGGTTATAATCCCTAAGCATGGCCGAAGGCCGCCTACGCAGAAAGCTGTTCAACCCCTTTTCTTTCGCAACACCAGAAAAGAGAATTCTACCTAGAGAGGGTTATACTCCCTAAGTGCGGCCGAAGGGCGCCTACGCAGACAGGTATTCTCTGCAAAGGGTGTTCAGCCCCTATTCTTTCGCAACATAGAAAGGAGAATTCTACTTTGTGAGGGTTATAATCCCTCTAAGTGCGGCCAAAGGCCGCCTACTTTTTTTTAAATCTCTGTATAGTACGGACAAAGAACGTAAATCTATAAGAAGAGACAACAGGTTATAATTAGTTGCGTTCCCTAACTCGCAAGAAGTTGCAAGAATTTACAGGGAACATCAGGAGCGTGCTTTCTCTTTTGTCCAAATACGTTTTGTGATTGGATGAAAAGAGAAGGCGCGCTCCTGATGTTCGCACTCGCTACAATTATAAAGAGTTGTCTCCGCTTATAGATTTACGTTCTTCGGTACGGACTGAAGACATGATGTTGTATATCAAATGAAAGCTTGTTTTATATCCTATTGGATTATGAAATGTTTGAATATATTTAATAATGCAATTTTTAAATAATCATTGATTGAAAATTTTGAAATCCGTGCGTTTGTTTTTAAGATATTTGGATTAAAAAAATTATGAGTTTAACCTTGGACCCTTGGTAACTTTTTGTTTTTGTTTCCCATAAAAAAAATATACCATTATACTTGATTCAAAAACCTCTATCGACGTCCTTGTTCAAAATTTGTCGCCCCGGTTATCGTAATCGTGCCAACCCTTTTTGTAAAGGCTCCCTAGGGACCTATAAGGGGCCTAAGCATTTGAGAGTTACATTTTTGAAAATAGCAGTTCATGCCCTCCCTAAAATGAGGGTGGCAGGGAAAGTTTTCCAATAAAGGACCAGGCATTGAAAAAAAATCTGAAATTCCCCTTCCCCGGAGGCTTTAGCTTTTAAGCAATTCGTTGTTAAAGTTGCCAAAAAAAAAGGCAATTAACCTCACATTTTCTTTTGTACATCGAGTGAACTCAAATTGCGGTGCTGCCATACATCACAAAAAAATGTGCAAAAATAGGTACAGAGAAGGGAATCGATAGTTGCATTCCAGGTGCTTCACGATTTGTAGGTTTTTACAGGAAGTCGCTCCAGGTGACTACCTTGCATAAGGTTTATTAATGGAGAAAAGAGCTGTTCCTGCAAATCCTGTAAAACCTGGGCATGAATCACGTAACTTTGAAACGATAGTCGTTCAAACGATACTGACAAATCGATGTTGCCAAAACACTGATTTATGCATTTGTGTTGCTGTTACGTGTTAATGTTACTGTTACGTGAAGCAAAACTGGAATCGAGTTGACGATATCGCACAAACGATCAAACCATTTTTGATTTTTATGAAGCAAGACAATCTCGACACGATATCGTTCAGATTTTGGCTACAAAGAACTATTAATATTTTCGACGATCCGGTATCTTATTCATGGCGGCCATCGCTCATTTGCATTCATTTGTTTATGAGGAAAAGATGGTCTATTAATAAAAAGGAAAGTGTTCATAAACAAACAATTGTGAAGCAGTGCGAAAATTTTAACAACGAATAACTTAAAAACTATTAGCATTTGTACACAAAATGTTGATGATATCGGTCAATGGGCACCTCCTCAACACCCCCTGCGAGTTTCATTAAAAAATTCGCAATACTTTGGGTGATATAGGAAATCTCAGTCAAAAATTATAGGTGCGTTCGTTTAAAATCTCCAGTAAAAACCAACCNAAATATCCAAAATAGTACGCGAACAGAAAATTTGCAGAAACTTGCAAGTTAGACGAACAGCTGATATAATTTTTGTTTACATACAAAAGTGTAAAATTTAAAACGTACGAAAAGTCATCACAAAGTGTTATACTGACACAGTTTATTGATTAAACAAATAACTACTTATTTCTTACAAGTTTAATTAGTCGCATTTTGTAATTTTTAACTTCCAAGCCATCAAATTCAATTTTGTGATTTGCGTAAATGCCAACCAGCTGTTTTTGATCAGCTGTTTTCCTGTCGGCAAAAATTTTTCCAGCAGAAACCAGCAGCTTCCTCTCAAAATGCAATGTCACTTTGCTCTCTCAATTTCCCCTACTTTGCAATTTTTTGCGTACGCGAACGCAAAAACTTGTAAGTTTTGGTTAAACATGAACAATTAACAGCTACGCGAACGCAACTTATGTTAACCCATGTTAAAAGTTATAGTCTGATTATGGCAACTTAACGTAAACTTATCGCAAATTAATGCAACGTCGAAAGTTTCATTTTGATTCTTACTTGCTGCCTTCACAGGCAAAAGTTTTTATCCTGATAATGTTACCAGGCAAATTTTGCCAAGGAAGACTGCATATTGCTCTTGGCATGCAATAATTAGCAGAGCTTTTATCTTGATAAATATTGCCATCAATTCGATACTTTGACAGCTACATTTTCATTTGCGCGATAGCTTCGTAGAGACAACATTATTAAGGGTGTTCATCAAAGCTTATAAATGCATTGTAAACCGTATAAACTTATAATTGTGTAAACCTTATAAATGAACTGTCAAAATTTGTATGGAAACTCGTTTACACATTTCTGATAAATTTATCCAGCGATTTTACTGAATAAACTTGATAAACTGAAGACAATGACACTCTGTCGCAACTCTAGCTATGTTTTCTTAGGCAATAATCGGGATCCGCTTACAAATTTTGCACGCAAATTCAACAACGATATGATCCTGATAGAGATCTGGTTCAATTATTATCCCGTCTGTTTGTTTTGTTTCACTGATAATTCGCAAAGTTTGGTAGCCGTGACAAATGAATTCATACACAAACAGACATTCTGCCATTGTTTCTTATAACTTGCTTCAAATAAATAGCCTTTATGTTATATGTACATTTATTTAAATAGATATCTCGTAAATATAATTTTTTCCAATTTAGTGAGGTAGTTTCTATAATTTCTTTATCCTCGTGCTAGAAGTATAAAGTTAGTGACACTGCGCTTTATAACCAAAGGAAACACGACTATTGTCGAATGTGTAAACGAAAAGAGAGTGTGGGTCGTTCATGTAACAGAGTGCATAAACTTATAAGATTATCTGCTTGATAAAGTTATCGGTTTAGATGAATACCACTGTTGATATTTCAATATATGTAAAATCAAGGCGAATTAATATAAGGTGATAGCAGGAGTACAAAAACAAAAATTTACCTGAATTTTGTTTTTGCTTTGGCGGCATAAACTGTCAAAATCTGTAAGAGTGTGTGTAGAAATTCAAACAAAATTTTTCAATTTGATATCAGAAGCCGTGCGGCGAAACATATGTATACACAAAATCAGCTAAGCTAGTAACACCACCTTATATAAATTCGCCTTGTGTAAAATCAAAAATTGAGCTGTTGTCTATACAAATATTTGTTATTATTTGCTTGGGTGTGAAATAGCATATTTTTTGAATTTTTTAAGTGATGAAATCCAGCAAAAATAGCCATCTTACAAATGCTTTTATCAGGATAAAAAACGCCCACGCACAAATATTGCCTCTGATAAAATTTTTATCAGGCAATAAAAACTACAGTTGGTAGGCAAAAACTGTTGCCTGTGGAGACGGGCCATTATAAGCCCTTTAGAATGGGTACTTGTACGTCAATACCGGAAAAGTATGTGAAGGAAGTGGCGTACGTAACGCAGAGATACGCCACAATGAAGGTGTTGCGCCTGTAAACATAAATCAGCTGTTCTTTATGGCCGCGTACTTGGGGTTTATACAAGTCAATTTTGCAGATACAATACCAAAAAACATTCACACTTTTTTTCTAATATATTTACCCAAACAACGAGACAATTAGTACATATTCTCAATTTTCTTGTCTTGTCAGCAGTGACGGACTTAAGGCCAAAACACAATAGCGCAGTGGCAGTGGCAGTGACAGTTTTGTCAGTTTCATACTTGAGCGGGACGTACGCAAAGTACCCATTCTGACGGGGCCATTAGTTCTACATTCCGTTAAGTTAAGTTGCGATCCCGTACGAGTCAGAAATAGTCAGAATCAGTCAAATTTTACTGGAAATCGATCCCGTATTCGGTTGTCTGACTATTGAGAGGACAAAAAAGAGAGTAAATACGGTTCTCTCTCTGTCAGAAGTTACCAGTTTTAGTCCGAGAATTTTTTGCTGGTAAATTCTGGTAAATGTGTCAAACGATCAGCTGTAGTGTGTTTGGCAACCAAATTGTAAACAAAAGAAAAGTGCACTCTGATAATTAATGTTGAAAAGTATTTAATAACTTGTTCTAATGAATTTGAAAGTATTCTTGGTTATTTACATGTGTATTTACATACAAAATAAGCAAAATATTTACAACCAAAATTTGGAAGTTATGTTAAGTTGACAGAAGTTACCATTTTTTACTAGAAAGCGATCCCGTACTTTTCAATGCTACTCTCTCTCTGAGCGAATTTTTATTTTTTGACAGTTTTACTAGTCCGAGTCCGAGGAATACGGGATTGCACCTTTAATAATCATCATATTAATCAGGCTTTTGTTTTGCCCATAAGGGCATATAAATATTCTTAACGGTGTTTGCAGAAATTTAAAAAACTATCGTATCTAATATCGCGATATAAAAAAAAAAAGTTTCAGCACTTATAGTTCTGGGAAAGCATTGAAAATACTACAATGTCGGCTATACTAACAACCATTTAATAAAACAGATTTGCTTAATATTACGTGTATACATGTATTCATATGTATAAATATGTATGTACATATGTGTCATACGTATATACACTCGCTGATTTGTTCAATTGTGCTAGCATGGTAAGTACTAACCAGATGATAGGCGCGAGCAGGAACAGATTTATAATAAAAATGAATAAAAGCTGCTAAAAATTACTTCAAAATAAATAATTCATCAATTAACACGCGACTACATAACACTGAACTATTAGTTTTCGACAATTCCAGTGGTGTCTTAAATTATTAGTCGCGTATCACGAGCTCTCTCCCCGTACCGAACGCGCACGTACACAAAGGCGAGAAATGTAGTTCACTTTCGTTGTTAAACTGTGAAGAATTCCGATACATTTATCTTGTAAACTGATTTACGTTCGACCTGTGATGTGTTCAATAAAACTCTGATTGCACTCCATGTCTAATGTCCAACAAGAATTTGACGGAAATCACACAAGCGCAGTGCAATTCTTTCTACCCCAAGGCGAATTTATACAAGGTGGTGTTATCGGATCCGCTGATTTCACGGCAAATTTGTATTATACAAGGTGGTGTTGTAAAATCAGCTGATTTCGTCGCCTTACATGTATTTTGTTTTTGCTTTTACTGATTTGACAGCACACCCATCAAAAGCAAAAACAAAATACATGTAAACTTTGGAGCGAATTGAGATTTGACATAACACCCTCCATACAAAATACATGTGGTTGTCGTTGTTATAATCTAAATTCGCCAGTAACACCACTTTGTATAAATGCGCCTTGCCTTTTATAAAAATCAAGGCAAATGTAATATGAATTCGCCTTGTTTACAACAAACTCATCATTTTGACATTAGGAAGTACTGCGGCGAAAATCTAAATTCGCCAGTAACATCACCTTGTGTAAACGCGCCGTAAGTGACAGGGTGCTGCCCAAGACGAATTTATGCAAGCTGGTGTTCAGTGTTGATATTTTAAGTAAGTTTACTTTTTTCAGTAAAATTATTTCATTCCAAAAGTACTTGTTGTACCAAATTCTGAAATATTTGCCACTTTGATTATTAATCCGTTTGCGTTTAAGTAAATGGACATACCTACATTTGATGTTTGGTACGAAACGAAATTCTGAATTGTAATTTTGAAAGTAAATGGAAAGTAAATATTAATATTAGTGTTGACAAAGAACATAGATAGCAAGAAGGGAAAACTTGATGTAATTGTAGCGAATGTGAGCAACAGGGGTGTGCCTTCTTTTTTGCCGTAGTATGTTTTTTGATTGGATGAAAAGAGAAGGCATGCCCTGTTGCGCACTTACGCTACAATTATAACGAGTTGTCCCTTCTTGTTATCTACGTTCTTTGGTGTTGAGCGTTGTGGTTACTGCGTTTTTTTTAAGAACCGATGGGTGAAATAACCCTTTTCGCTATTTACTTTGAAAAATTTTTTGAAAATGCAGTTTACCTAATGACGATCCTGAAGAAAATGAAGGAGTTGAATAACTCAGGGGTTCAATGTAAAAAATTCTACGTGAATTTCATGCGTTAAAACTAAAAATTTCTACTTTCTATATAGTAACCCGGGCTGGGCTAAATTTTTAATTTTTTTTTGTTTTTAATATAATTTTTAAAATACGATTTGAGAATTTATTTGTGGCTTTATCGGCTAGTTGGAAAAACCTCAATGATAAGTTACGTGAAATTAATTCTACATCAACTTAGCTGTACAATGAACTGAAAGATAAACCCACTCTAGTAGAAGAAAAGGTGTATGTTTAGATGAAGGAAAACGGGATTAGTGCATTGACGGAATTGGTGGAAAGTACAATTAAGCTCAAAAAGGTAAAGTTTTTGTCGTTAATTTTGTACAATTTCAAATCTCAAACAGCAACACTCGTGGTGTTACTGGCGAATTTACATTACAACAACAACCACATGTATTTTGTCGAAACTAAATTCGCCCCAAAGTTTACATGTAGTTTGTTTATGCTTTTGATGAGTATGCTGTCTTATCAGTAAAAGCGTTTGGACGTTTTTTATGTAAAAAATGACGTTTTTTAAGTTGCACTGATTTTGAATTATTTTCTTAATAAATCTTTACAAGCTTTGTGTTTCGCAGCAACTGATTCAAGAGATATATATATTCTCTGAACACAGTTGACTTAAATAAGTTGCATACCAAGCGTACGCGCATTGTTTTTTTTATTCTTGGACTGAGGATCCCATGTTCAAAGGCTGGTTGTGTAAACACTTGAGGTTACGAGGCTTATTATAGTGTTTGCAATTGCACATTAATTAGGAAGAGCTGATCTCTTGCAATACGTGCTGCGCTCGCGAAAGCATCAAAAAACTGGTAGCAGCATAAGAAGTCAGAAAAAAGTAGGCGACTTTTTTATGACTTCATTGAAAATGTAATGAACGAAAAAAGGCTGAAGTATTGCTATGCTCCTTAGCAGAACGTAATTTAGCATTTTCGACAGCCAACCCTTACCAGATGTCTGTAAGAAAAAAAAATATTAAAAGTCAAAGCGATTATTAGACCCTTTAAAATTGCACACTATTGCCTTGAAATTTAATGGGCTTTCAAACTGCATGCTCAAAAAAAATCGAAATAGAAAGTTGAAAATCTAGTTGAAGCTTTGCAGATTTTTTATAATTTGTGCACAAAGTTTGAAATAAGGATTTATAGGTTCTTTGTTATATATTGAGCTTGGCTTTTATGGTAATAGTAAACATTAAGTAAACAAAAGAAAAACAGCCAAAATCGACCAAAATGGTGATGACTTAATCAGCTGATCACAAGTGTATATACAAAATGATTTTTATATTAACGATATCAAACTAGTTTACAATGAATTTTAAATATGCTCTGTCAAAATGACATTTTAATATGCCTTACGTACATATGTACCTTTGTATACAATAAGAGTTTAATAAGAAAAATTTTTTGAAAAAATTGAAAAAGACGTTTTTGGGTAGGAAATGACGTTTTTCAGACCAAGAAGGACGTTTTCTCATGCCGAAGAGCTGGCAACACTGGATCCGATAACATCATCTTGAAAGCGAATTTATACAATTTTATAAATTCGTCTTGACCATCTTGTATAGAATTAATATAAGGTGGTGTTACTAGCTCAGCTGATTTTGTGTATGTGTTTCGCCGCACGGCTTCTGATATCAAATTGAAAAATTTTGTTTGAATTTCTACACACACTCTTACAGATTTTGACAGTTTATGCCGCCAAAGCAAAAACAAAATACATGTAGATTTTTGTTTTTGTACTCCTGCTATCACCTTATATTAATTCGCCTTGGATTCGCCTTGTACAAAACTTGTACTGGCGAATTTAGATTTTCGCCGCGGTCCTTCTGAATGTCAAAATGATGTGTTTGGTGTATTATGAATTCGCCTTGTTTACAACAAACACATCATTTTGACCGAAGCGAATTTATACAAGGTGATTTTCATGGCGAGATTCAGTAAGCAGTCTCTAGTCACTTATAATGGCTGCGTTTCTTTATACATTCCGGATAATCCCATTTCTCATCCGGAATAAACAGAATGCCTTTGAAATATACGTTAACATATCATCAGGAATGTTCTAAAGAATAAGTAAACAAAAAAGTTTATTCCAAACGTTCAGAATGAATAAAGAAATGCAGCCAATGACTTTTCGCGGTGAACATGGATTTTGAGACTATTCGGTATTCAGTAAGCTATCTCTAATCTCAAAATAAAGTAAAAAATTTGTCACCTGGCTCTGAGATGGTCACAAAAAGAAGGAAAGATTTTTTGATTTTTTTTTATTAAAATCTAAAGATTATGCACAAAAATAAAACTAACAAAAAAAAACAAATAAAAATAAATAAAATAAGTCTGTGCGCCAGAGGAGGATTCGAACCCGGATCTCTCGAGCGGCAGTCTAATTATTTGATTACTCGGCAATTGCGACTCTTAGAGCAGGAGTTCTTAAACTTTTAAGATGATGGAACATTTACTAATCACTTTTCATTTTATGGAATCTCACATCAAATTACTAAAAATTAAAGGCAGCGTAATTTAAATATGAATAAGAACTTTTACCGACCGCCGTGCTTATTCCTACCAAAACTAATTTCGCGGAAGCCCGGTGACTTTTCTACGGAACCCCCTGTCTTAAAGCTTTCAGCTACACAATTCAGCTTAACTACACATTTTTAATGAACTTTTTGCAAAATAAAGAAAATTAAAGAAACACAAAACTAGCTGTAAACAGCCAATCGATGTATTTGACTATTTAAAATATTTGGCGCGAATTTTTGTTTATCCATTTTGCTTGCTACAAGTTTCTGTTAGTAAAAAATTTACTGGCAGAAATTAGCAGGAGAGACAAAAAATTGAGAGCGTAAGAACGAGAGAGAGCAGTTAGTTTCTGCTAGTTTTTTGGGTTAAGAAACGCTTTCCAGCAGTAATTAGTGATAATTAATTGTTAAGAAACAAAGCTTATATTTATTTTATAACTTGCAAGTAATGCATGCTTTCTTTGTACTTTGTCAGCTTTCATTTTTATGCACATTTTTTATTTCCACCAAGAAATTTTATATGTATAACCTGTCAAAATTTTACCTAGCCCCATGAGCTAGGTAAAATTCTGAAGTTCGTATTCACCACGAGAAATGTCAAAATTTACCCTTTCCTGAATACCCAAATCATCTAATGTCGCACAATTAGTCACTTATTTCTAGTCACAAGTTTAATGATTTCAGATAAGACTGAATTATTGAATACCAGCGCTACAGTTGGATGCAAACTTATTCGTTCAAAGATTGTTCCATGTCTGACTTGTTGTGCAACAGACCTTATTAAAACGGATTTCGAAATCCGGCAACTCATAAGAATTATTTCAGGTGTAGTATGACATTTTCCTTGCATATTTTGGAAAATTTTACGAGGTTGAAGACGAGCAAAAATTTGCCAACAATGTTTAAATAAATAGTGATAAAGCCTTTTAAGCTTTTATTTGCATACAAAAAGGTGTATTATAGTTGTATACAAAAATTTTACCAGCTGCTGCATGCATGCTGGGGTTGGCTTATCAAGAGGTGCGACGATTTCTTCTAGTATTGCATGATAGGTACACAAAAAACTTTCCAGCTGGTGTCATTCGAGAAAATTAAAATAAAATATCTATTTGTATGGTATCGAAAAATAAACAAGTGTAATTCGATTACAATTTGTACTGTCGCATAAATCGTAATTATGTTATACTTATGAAAAATGAAGCAAGTTTAATTTTCGCTTTGAAGTTGCTGTTCGCTAAACCTATTTCGTGTTGTATAGGATTAACAAAATGCCAAAATAATAATATTTCTGAATTACGTATATAGCATCTTTGCACCCTTTAATGGAACCACTGTAAAATTAAGTAAATATACTTAGGGTGATACTACATCGAGCTTACGTGCGGGTAAAAGCACAGCCTGGCTGAGCTGATTGCACTGCAACTAATTATCTGCACCCCTTCCCTTACGTGGCCAAAACTCGATAAGGTGAGTGTACAACGGTTGTGATTTGATGACGCATTCAACGCTCATAAAAAAGCAAGGCGCAGCAGCTTCAGTGTGTTAGAGAGCTCCGGTTTTTTTAAGAGCAGAACTACTGTTTATCATTATCATGCTATGTTTCTAATTTTTAATATATGTTAATACATAAATGTTTACATTATAGATAAAAAAATATATATATAAAAACCAAAGAAAGCACTTGAAATGGCAGGCGTGCCTCCTATAGTACCGCTTCTGTGCAGCACTCCGCCACCAATTGATTTTGGTGAAGAGGACGACGATTCCGGTTTGCCGCCCACTTTAACACTTGAAGACGATGATGAATACGGTGATTTCGCGTTCGCCGCAGACATAAATGAGAATGCAACAAATACTGATAGTAAGGAAATATTTGAGAAAAACGTTTTGATGAATAATTTTTAACACATTTAATATTTTTTATTTATTTCTAAAGTCCCCTCATTGCCACGCACGCCGCTGCAGTTCGAACTAAGCTCATCCACGACGAGTGGCTTTACCGATGTACCACCAAGTTTAGAAGAGTGTGGTAATGCACCGATAACTCCACCTCCGCTGCAAACTGAACATGACGTTTGTTCAGCCCGCGAGGAAGTTAAGCTAGAACTAATCGAGGCAATTAACTACAATGTTGTAAGCAGAGAAACCAATCAAGAGCGTATTAGTGACGGTATAACTAATGTGGATGAGACTAGCAATACAAATGATTCAGTAACAAGCCACCCGCAACCAGAGAAAGACAATAATTGGGTTATTCACAACTTGAGTGACACCAAAATCACAAATGAAACTTGCGCGGAATCGGAAAGTCTGCCCAAGTTTGCACACACTACAGATGCTATTACAACTAAAGAAAAAAGTGGAACTAAAAATGTATCGATATTGTCTAATGAGCAGGACATTAATGCACAACCAAATGCTATAACGATATTTTCCGAAATTCCTCCTCCTTTGACTCAACTTGTGCTGTTAGAAGATATAGCAGACGACAGTAGCGATGAGGAGTGCCATCGATCTCCAAAAAAATCCACCATATCAACAACGTCGCCCTTTACAAGCAGTGCTGACATAAATTCGGCGGATTTCTTTGCAATCCATGTCGTTGGCGCGCCGTCTTCACCAAAAGAAGACAAACCACTGACAAAAGTGGAGGATATAAATATGAATAGCTTGTCAAACCACGATAATAACATCACCCATGAATTTGAAAATATTACTAAGACTACGCCCTATGGCGGCGAGGAACTTAATGATGATTTCGGTGATTTCGCAGATTTCGAATCGGCAACTGAGATTACAATCCCAACAACCTGCCCAATGAAGACAGCCGATTCTAATGTGATAACCAAGAGTGAGTGCAATGATGTCAAACCCGTAGACGAGGTAAGAGGAGTAATGTTGATTGTTGAAAGCTTCAAAAATACATTGAATATTTTAACTGTTTGCAGCTCCCTGTAGAAAGTACTATCCAAAATAATGATGATGAGAACGATTTTGATGATTTCCAAGACTTTTGTTCGGCACCAACATCAGTTTCTAATACTAAACCAATTATATCATCGCAAAATTCAGAAGGTGTAGCAGCAACATGTAATGACGGGATTAAAAAGGGTATAGCACTAAATGAAAATAGTCTTGCAACGTTGAAAATTGATTCGGAATCTCAAGCAAAAGAAGTTGAGAATAGCGACGATGACGACTTCGGCGATTTCGAAGAAGCTTCACTTGCCATACCCACTTCTGAATTCACTGCAAATACTGCTATTATGAATACACATACGCCACCTGCGACTAGTGGAAATATAAGTGACCGTATAGGTTCGGTGTTAAAACTGATGTTTCCACCTGCAGATGAAAGTGTTGACAGCGACAAAGAAAGGACAGCGCCAGACGCTCTTTCCAGTTTGCAATTACCAAACGGCACACTTCCTTTTGAGTCGATAGAAGCTGCCAAAGCCTTGGAATTTCAGTGGCCGCAGTCGGAAATACGGCATGCGCTTGTACGGTCAATAGGCATTGATTCGAGAAACATTGTAAGAATGAATAATGCAGTCATATATTATTTATGCTTATTTAATAACTACAAACTATGCTAAATAAATAAATAAATAAATAAATAAATAAATAAATAAATAAAATTAATAACTACAAAATAATTTCTGTAGCTCTTTGGCGAGAATTGGAATCCATCAATGCCCCGTTTTGCTGCCAATCTCAGTTTTAATCCGCTAAAGCCATTGAAACCACAAACAGTCAACCCGTCAACAACAACAGCAGGCATCGACTCGGAACATTACAGCAATGGCAGTGACGTTAGCAACTACTCTATGAAAACGGATGTACCTGATGTTGAGTTCGATTGGCAAAGCGCCGGTCTAGTGAACCCACTTGACGGTAAGTTTCATTATGTAAACTGACTACTTAACTGGTGTAATTTAAAATGAATACTTACACTTAAAAATTTAACGCTATACCAAGCAAAAATCTACAGAAACGCTTCCTCTGCAAGCTATTTAAACATACTGAGCTTTATACATCTTGTGTTCTTTTTTTTATTATTTCGAAAATGAATTTTGTTTTCAGTCGCTTAATTTCTGCATCATTTATTGTCTATGCACATTTCTCCCCTGAAATCTGTAATTAAGTTTTTTTTTTGTTTACTTGCGAAGGCTTTTAATTGCTTAATATATCTATTTATATTTACAAACTGCATGGAAAACGCTTCATATTTAACTACGGCACTGTGCTATAAAGAAAAAAATAAAGTTCGCGTGTAAAATGTGTGTAAGTTTAAAATGTTTACAGAATTTCAATGGCTTTTCTGCTGCTAGAAACAGTAATGCTTGTTTTAGTTTTTAATTAACATTTAAATATACATGTTCCTCATAATTAACTTTATGTAAAGTGGTTTATAAATCTTGCGTTTTAAAATTTACACTTCGAAGTTAATTCACAAAGGCCCCAACCAACAAAGAGGTAGAGCTTTTTAAAAAGTGGCGTGTAGTTCCGTTGTTTTTGGTACTAGAACTTAAACATTTTTATTGAAGGATTATTTTAATATATTCTACCAAAATCTTTAAAAAACGCAGTTTCGAAAAAAGTGTTGGTTAGGGCCTTGGTGAATTAAGGTAACGATATCGATATCTACATAAGTGGAAGATCGATCTATCTCGGCAGCTAGTTCGAAAACGCCCTAGCTCAGAAAACCTTTCAAGAACACCCTTCCGCAGAATTTGATTGAAGAACGCCCTGTTGCAGAATTTTATTTGAAAACACCCTGTCTCAAAATTTTTTTTGAAAAACGCCCTATCCCAGAATTCGGATGAAAACGCCCTATCTTACATTACAATACATTGAAAATGTGCTGAGGAAGGGTGTTTTTGAATCAAATACCGAACTGTGGCCGTTTTCAATCAAATGCTGAAGTATGGCGTTCTTCAAAAATTTTCTGAGATAGGGCGTTTTAGAACTGGCTGCTGGCGGGCGCTATAGGTCGACGTTCCACTCAGGTATCGATATTTACTTTGCCGAAAAAATTTATACTTATAAACATTAAAATTAGTAAGCAGCCAAAAAATGAGTAACAACCTAACCGGTCCAATCTATTTGGATTTTAAAAGTTTTGTGATTGCGAAGGTCAAAGAATACAGTTTTTTAAATTTTTAAAATGTCTCTTCTTGTCTTAGGTTATGCAAATTCCTTTTTGGTTCTCGTTTTAAACACCTATTGTATTTTTAGAGAGTTATTTTTAACAATGTGGCTCACCAGTAGTTGTACATGGCATATGATTATATGTAAATAAGAAATCTGAAAATCATGATTTCATATATTTTTCAAAACGTTTCAAAAATAGCAGTTAAAATTTATTTGATCAAGAATTTCATTGTAAATGCTCTATATTATAATGAATATTATAAAGTTTGTTTATCGAAATTGTATACATACATTTTAACTGTTATTTTTATTGAACAAAATGTTTTGTTTTCAATGTATAATTTTTTATTATACATACATACAAATATCTTAATGCAAATTTACCGTGCATGTGGCACTTCAAACGGTAACTTAATTGTACAGACATGCCGCTATACGGATGTATACGTACATACATGTAAATGTATATGTTTGTATGCATATCTTGCGTTCTAGGTATTTAATGCCCTTGAATGGCCGACTATTTATGCTAGAAGCAACAGTTTTTGCATAATTACTTCCAATTTTATGATCATCACTGTAATGACGCTTTAATTTTGATTGTAATTTTATTTTCTACCAAAAAAATATCAAGCAAATCTATACATGTCTGCGAATTTCAGCGTATGCATGTTTGTTTATGTTTTTTAACCTAATCTTTTTACATTTAGCTTGGTTGAAATTCAATTAAAACATTTATGCCTTCCCCATTATTATTTTATTTTTTTGATAAACGCTTTTAATATTGTAAAAAGTATTTTTGATTACCACTAACTAAGTTTTAACAACTACTTAATTTGATTATTTTACAACCTTCGGTTTCGGAATTAACAAACACAAAATAACATGTCTATCTGTCTAACAACACATGTATATGTATGTAACACCAACCAACCACTTGATTCTCTAATCAAACAATCAAATCAATGATGATGAATTACAAAAATGACTAGCATCACATGTTCACACTTTACTATTGGATCTAGACAAAGTTATGGTGATGGCTACTAAGCTTGATAACTTAACTGTTGATTCCTCCTTCTCTGCATGTGCAACAACGTTGGAACAAATAACGTCGACAACTACTCCAAAAAAAACCACAACAACCACCGCTGATTATAAATTAACTAATGAAATTAACCGCTTTCAATTAATGCCTTTAAATACTCAAATAATACAAACAACAACAACAACAACACCCGCATTGGTTACATCTGGTCAATTATCATCATCAATATCATCATTACCACCAACATTATTAACTTATAATAACAAAAATGTCTTTGCCAATTCTACGTCCGCTTCCTATTCCACACCACACAATACCAACACGTTTCCAAATCCTTGCACTTATCAAAATTGTCAAACCAATGCACGGGCTAATTGTAATACAACACATGTAAATCGTGGACTATGCGCTTCTCACTCTACAAATACTTTTGCTTCACTTCATTCGCTTGTCGCTCAACGACGTACTGTTGGAAATGTCGTCACTATTGAACCATTAATGTACTTCAAAAATTTTACTAATCACATTTCGGCAACCCTCCATCAAAATCCAACGCTTAACATGATCAACAATAATACCATACATTCAAATTTAACCACTCATTTTGAAATGCCAACCTTTAAAACCGATCAACTATCAAATTGCATTTATGCACCGACGTTAAAATGCGACGATTTTTGCAATGATAATAACTTAACTAATAATCCACTGGAATTTGCCAACTTTCACTTAAAAACAAATCGAATGCCGGATTGTAGTTGTAAGTTAAAAGAATTGTTGTTGTGGCATATTTTAAGGTATTTGCATCGTGTAGGTTAAAGTAGGAATATGTACCGCACCTGTTTTTTAATTGAATCTTTGCTTCCGAAAATCAATGCAGTAGCACCAATGGTGAAATTTTATTTGTGCTAAGATGGTCTGCTCACTATTCAGGCAAAAATTATCTTTACTAATTGTTTTAAAACAGTTAATTAAATATAAATAATATATCTACAATGCATTTAAATTGTTTTGTCATCGCCACTAAATCCTAAAAATCAGGCATGACAGAATGCATCTCCTCAGACTCACAGATGCCATGAAGACACACGTAACCCAACTACTAGACTCGACAGTGTCCATGACATTCTCACGCAAGCCCGATCTACGTACGGGAACGACTCGGGTTTTGGCGGACCAAGTGCTGCTGTTTCGTCGACCCACCCCCGTCTATGGGTCGGCATGGAATATTGATAGCTGCGGTCCAAGAGACGCAGTTGCCCATCAATTCAACACCTGAAATAGGTGCGCTCCTCAAAGGTAAAAACCGTATGGTAGTCGGTAACTTCAACGCGCACCACAATCTTTGGCATTCAAGCCTGTCGAATGATCGTGGGGGAATACACTTGGCTGAGCAGATAGACGATTAGACGTTCTGCACAATGAACGACGACCTTTTCTACCCTTCCCACACCAACCGACTTTCACGTAGGTGCGCGTAAGTTCCGAAGGTTTGTCACTGCAGCTTGCTTCGGACCCCCGTCCGAATTTTCTGGCGGAAGTGGCTGTTCTGATCGATGAGCGTGACAACCTTCGCCCCGAAGAAGTGGGAAGAGCATTTGAAGAGTGGTAACTTCACCCCTGGTGTGAGCAAGCTCTGGTCAACCGTGCGGTCACTATCCAACCCGACGAAGCGTGACGACATAGTCGAAATTTCCTTCGGCGACCGCGCCCTCCTTTCCCCGGTAACAAAGACACTTGAAGACTTGCTACTCCCGCACTACACAAACCACTCGATCCCAGTGAGGCAGCAGCATAAGTTTCGTAAAATGCTGTGCTGTGTACAACAGCGTTTAACGCCATAAACACCCATATAACTCGTAGCCTTAAGCAAAACCGCCCCTGTGAGAGAACAGTCCTAGTACTGTTAGATCTGTCAAAGTCATTTGAAACCTTCAACCATTTCAAGCTACTAAAAGACATTAAGGCTTCCTCTCTCCTACAGGGGCTCGAGCGGCGGTCGGCGAATTATCTGAGTGGTCGACATTTGTTGGTAATTTTCGTAGACAAAACCAGCAATCCGAGAAAAATGAAACAAGGTATCCCACAGGGTGATGTCCTTTCCCCGCTTCTTTTTGATTATTATATTTCAAAGCTCCCTCAACTACCAGAAGGAGTCTCGAATGTCTCTTATGCTCGATAATGGCGTCTGGGTTTGATGACTTGTGCTCGAAAGTAAACGGTTACCTCACCAAACTTTCTTGCTTCTTCACTGCAAGGAGCCTAGCCCTCCCCCCAACAAAATCCCCGGCAACCTTTTTTACCACCTGGACAAAGGAGGTCAGACTGCAGCGGGGTATTCACGTCGATGGCAAACCAATTCCGACGGTGAGTTACCCGAAAATCCTCGGAGTTACCTTCGACCGTCTGGTCTCCTTCTCGGCACATATAATTGCCCATCGAGTCGCCAGCTGGCAGCACCTGGGGCAAAGGCACAGGGCAACGTACAAGGCAATTGGGCGGGCGGTTCTAAACTATGCAGCTGGAGACAAGTAGGACGCAGTGGATGAAGCTACAGATATTCAAAACTACGACCTGTTTTAGCAGTACTGCCACTAAAACAACAACAACCTAATAAAAAACGGGTTGAATGGTTACACTGTGTTTTTTTTTTCAAAGTTGTAATCTAAAAATCGTCTTTCACAGCTTCATGAGCTTTTCTTGGTATTCACTAAACATCCATCCTTGTAGAAGCAGATGAAACTGCATTTTCTTTTTATTGACGGGTTTTTCCGGTTTTATAGTGGTCCAGTTAGTATAGCACTTATTTATTAAAATGCCATTTGATTTTTATACTAAGATGACTTCGTAGGAATAACCAATTTAAAGTACAATAAACAAATAATTTCGAATAAGAAAAATATAGCTTTGTAGTACTTACTAAAACGTAGCTTATTTTCAGGAAAGATCAAACATCATTTTAATACACGATTCTTCTGCAAACAAAGTTCATTAACACGCTCTAGCCACTAAAGATCCCAAAACGCATGATCTTGTTAAAAGAAAAAAAACATTTATTTTGCAACTCCTCAAGTAAAATGTGCGTCGTATGCCCTACTTTACCCTACACACTTTTAAATCTGCAAAAAAAAAATATATATATAATAATCTATGCTACCATTAACTTTTTGCTAAGCACACATTTATAGATTTCGGTTTTTACAACATTACATTCTTCTATTAACACTTTGGTGGTAGATCGAATCTTACAAACATAATGTTAATATAACAAGTCATTTTTAAGCAAAAAACAAAACCGACTTCAATTCAGATATACAAATTTAAGGGTACCGTTAGTTTCTACATTATCTACATAAAAATAAAAAATATAAAAATATTCTGACGAATTGATAACCTTCTTCCTGTTTGAAGTGGGTTACAAATCAGTTTTTATGTATTGTAATTAAGATCATTTATTTATTTATATATTTGTTCATATCTAGTAAATCTAGAAATACATGATTTCTTACAAACTACTACAAAAATACTTAACAATACAAGTTCAAGCTTAACTATATAGTTCATTCAATGATAATTTAAACAATTGCTTAGGCGACGAGAAATCAAAGGCCAAAGAATTTGAGATTTGATTAAATTCTTTCAATGCTCTATGAATCGGAGCATAGGATGCATAAACCGTCCGGACTCGCTCCAGAAAGAATAAATCATTGCTCCGCAATTTTCTTTGTGGAATGTAAAAATAAATGCGCTCTAAAAGAAATGGACAATCAATTTCTCCACTGATAATATCAAAGATAAAGCAGAGTGAAAGAACACTCCGTCTATTTTGTAAAGACTTCAAGCTTATTAAAGCACATCTAGCATCATACGAAGGAATCGGTTCAGCAAAGTTAAGCGATCTGAGAGCAAAACGAAGAAAATTCTTTTGAATTCGCTCAAGTCTATTAATGTGACAAAGGTGATATGGCCTCCATATAAAGACCGCATATTCTAACTTAGATCGTACAAGCGAGGTAAATAGTAATTTTAGAGTGTAAGGATCAGTAAAGTCTGAACCAAAGCGCCGAATAAAGGCAAGTGTAGAATATGACTTAGAAATTATATAATTTAAATGACTCAGAAATAGGAAATTTGAATCAAAAAAAAGATTAGCGAATATGTACTTGTACGTACATGCATCGCCATCATTAAAAAAGCTCATAACGACTTCTTTCTATAGCATATTTTGATACCAGAATTGTCAACATATTTGACCTTTACATACACCATTAATGTAAGTAATGATCCATAAACAAAAAGTTAATTAGGGCAACTTTCGTGTAAAAATCATTCGATATAGTACATTTTGCCCCATTGGACGTGTAACCAATTAATTTTGTCATCATATCGTGGTCATCAATGCAAATTACTGTATTTGACAAATTTTAAATTTTACTGGATAAGTATAGACCCTTTTTATCCCTGCTTGCTTATAGGGTCACATTTGATATATACTATTTTTTCATTTATACTAAATGGATTTAATTAACACTATAAACATTTCTCAAGCTATTTGTTCAACACTTTGAATCACAAATGATTTCACTTTTTACTTTTTTATAATAGCACGTTAATGCTATTATACGCTTATTTTTACAAAGCGTGTACGGTCTTTGCTAAGTTTTTTTCTTCTTCTTTGCGAACCACTGTTCTTTATCCACAGTGCTAAACTGCCCATAAACGTGATGAAATGAAATAAACCGGGTTCCCGTACAAACTCATTATTTTATCACATTTATTGGCAGTTTATCACTTTAGATGAAGACCCCTTACTTATGGTCTCACCACTAAAGATGACCCAAAGTTATATATTAGTATATATTCACTCACTGCACACAAACTTTTTCGAGGCTTTAAGCCTGGATAATCTAAGACAGCCTATAAATACTCGATTCTTATAAGGCTGGTTTTCTTCTTGATTGCTCTCAACGAAATCAGTACCTTGGCGAGCAATATCGTTCCGGCAGTGGTCATGTACATAGATCCAGTTGGTTAGCCTTTCTTCGGCCTCTACAAAAAATTAAAAAAAAAAAATATATATACTATGCCACACTTACCGTCTTTGTAACTTACCAGAGGCTTTATGTAACTGCAGTTAAGCCTTTGGTTTTTAGTTCGTCATACATATACATATTACACCGAGCGACAGTCAAATTTACACACGAAAAAATCAATATATTCACAAAACGGGGGGCCAAATATAGAAAACTGCGTTTTTAGCTTTTTCTCTCTGGCGTCAGGATTTTTTTTTTTAAAAGGACCTTGAAATTTCTTGAATATGATTGTATAAAAAAATTATTCAAAAGATTCGGTGCATTGTAGAATAAGAATATGGGTATCAATTAAAACGAAAAATTCTGTAGAATAGGAAAAAAAATTTATTTTTGGGTATATAATAAGTATTGAAAATGTCCTTTTAAAACTTTATCCTTGAATATCCTTGGAAACTTCCAATATTTATTTTTGAAAAAAATACATATGTCAAGGATTAATATGTATATTGTAACTATCAATATCTTATAAAGAGAAGTGTACATTTTTTTATCTAAAACGAATAACGTTAGAAGAACGAAATTCGAGGATGTGGTAGTTAACATATTAGTCCTTGACACATATTTTTTTTTCAAAAATAAATATTGGAAATTTCCAAGGATATTCAAGTATAAAGTTTTAAAAGAACATTTTCTAAACTTATTCGTACTGGTGCACAATTCAATTCTACAGAATTGTTTCTTTTAATTGATACCCATTTTGTTACTCTACAATGCGCCAAATCTTTTAATTTTTAAATTTTTTTATTTAATCATATCCTAAAAATTGCAAAGTCAAAGTCAAAGAAAAAAAATCCTAACGTTAGAGAGAAAAATTAAAAAGGCAGTTATACTATATTTGTCTCCTTGTTCTGTGAATATATTGATTTTTTCCTGTGTTTTAAAAATTTTTGGTTTTTGTCGCACGGTGGTATATATTCATATTAGGTCACTTTCTCTCTATCGTCAATATTTAATGGCAATTATTTAAATTACCATTACCAAACATATTTGAACCATCCAATTGGATGCCACTACCACCAAATGCGTTAAAAAATAAAAAGCTTTTTATATTTACTTATACAAGAAATATTTCGTTAATACTTTTGTTTTCAAATGGCTTTTCCAGCCACCATTTTTTTGTTTCCGATAATTAAATTCTGGCCTTATTTATTTATTATTATACAGACATACATATTTTAATTTTCGTTATTTTGCACCTTTAGTCTTATGCACTGTGAACTGCTAAACCTATTTTCCTGCATAAATATATACAAACCAACTAATCATTATTGCCTAATTTCAGGGGTCAAGGGGGAGACAAACACACGAGAGACTGAAACGGTTCACTCGTCGCCGCCTGTTGCACGGCTTGATACACCCGATGACCAGCATCAATCGCATACAACCTTTACAAACGTCGACGATAACATTTCAGAAGCCCTAAGCAACAACGATACCAAACTAACGCTCACGCCAACGAAAGACATTTGTCCGGCGCCTTTAACATTGGACCAGCCAACGTATCAGTTAACAGCACAGGATCAAAGCATCACCATTAGCACCAACTGCATTAGTGGCAGTAATACAAGTAACAGCAGATCGTATGAAAGTAGAAAAACATTGTCAACATTACGTTTAGGTGCTAACATCGTCGATAATATTGAAGATGACGAAACGGTAGTCACCTCTACTTATGCTGGACCATTGAAGGAGACACACATATATACACCTTCGAAGACAGAAATGGCGACAACAGTGAAAACTTGCAAATCGCCTACTAACGGCAATGAGCCAATTGATTTCGATTATGAGATTGCTGCGGCGGGCATAATAATCGATGAAAAGGTGGTGAAAAAGGAATATCGGGATGCCGAATATAATCCCGGCTTCAGCTTAGAAATGGTGAATGAATATGCTGGTGAATCGCCTACAGGAGTGCCGGCGCCTTTGGAATCTGAACTAAGTGTACCGGTTTTGGCATTGACGCAGCCAGAACCTCAGCATCAGCAACAACCAAATCCATCGGTTGAATTGGACACCGATGAATTCGCCGATTTTACCGAGTTTCAATCAGTGCCACCACCAACTCAGGCAACCGTAACAGTCGCAACTGCGTCTTATGGCGGCGTCACATCAAATCCCACTAGTACAATAGCGTCCGCATTCCAAAAGGAATCAAATGGTAAAGCAACAAACATAAACGCACCCCCTGCATTTGCAGCAGCTATTTCAAAGGCAAAAGAAGCTGGTAAGATACCTAGTCGCACGAGCTCACCATCTATTATTGACAATATGATACTCAGTCCGGCCATACTGTTGCCACAAGCTATTCCAATGAACGCAAATAACACAGTGGCGGGTAAAGCTACGCCAAGTATTGAGTGGGGTGATACAACGGCCAATATCAATCCGGATGAATTAGCGCGCATTGAAGAACTTTTCCCGCAGCCCAAAATCACGGCTGCCAAAGATGCAAACACATCACAAAAATCATCACCAACGCACAGCTATGCGGATAATCACGCAAAAAACGCTTCTATTTCCATAAGCGCTGCAGTGGCGATGAAGGAGCAGGACTCCACTCTCAGCGATGACTACTGGTCGGAGTTTGTATCAGTGCCAGTGACCCCGCAGTTGCCAAACAATGCCGCTCGACTCAACAACAACAATAATAACAACTATAAACTTACACCAAATCGCGCGGTAGGTGGTCACGTCATTAACAGTGTCACCAACAGCAATAATGCAGTGCGGTCACCACGTCATCAACAACAACACGTAAGCGTCCAACGCACGCTAACACCAACGGCACTGCGAAAACCAATTCTCCACACAGCCAGGGGCAGCGTCGCTATCAATAGCAACATATGCAACAGCAATAGTTATATTAACAGTAATAGCAACACCAACACTAATAGTAACGATGACGATTGGTCTGACTTCGTCTCCAGCACTCCGGCACTTGCAGCGGCGCCAACGCATTCTACGCATTACATGCCAACAGCACATGCGCCTCAATTCAATAGCGCCGCCTGGCAAAATGCAAACTTTTATAATAATCCACTCGGTTTATACCATCAGCAGCTTAGCAACATGCAAACGCGTGCTGCACCCTTGACTCCCCAACAGCAACAGTTGCAACTACAACAGCAAATACACATAATGCAGGACTTCTCCACTGCACCCGTAACAGCCCGTCCAAATGTCACTTTGAATAACAGCAACAATGCGCATATCAACAGCATGCAACATTCCAATTCATACTCGCCGATGCAAGTGGGGAATGCCCGAGTGGCGCCGAGCATATCGCTGATTCCCGATTTGGGTTTTGTGGCGCCTGCGATGCCAGTGCATACCGCCTTCATTAATGTCCTACCGAAGACAAGCTTCAACAGCAAAAAATGACGTTTGTTAAATTGCGAGCAGACGCATTATCGTGGTCATACAACACTGGCAAACTCCTATCGAAATCACTTACCAAATGCTAGTCCCGTCACAGCTGGCATCACCTCTTCTATTCACGATATCTTAACATAGAAGCAGCTACACTACATTAT